ATCGTCATCTACAGGGCCGGTGGGACCCACGTAAAGGAGATGGAAGATGTTGCAATCCCGTAAGCCTTCCTCTCCTCGTCTCTTTCTCTCTCTCTCCGATGTAACTTGCATCTTCCCCTTCATCTATAAAGGGGAAGCAGGGCACCCCACAGAGGGGGCATATTTTTCACACATCTAACACGTCTGAGCGGTGAAGGCTTAGGCACTCGACAGTAGACAAAGAGCTCAACCAGACCCACTCTTTTCACCAGAGACTTGGGACATTCTCCCTCTCTTGCCTGTTTGTAACCCCTACTACAAACCAAAGTGCTGCTAACACGAGTAGCGGCAGACTAGACGTAGGGACGTTCCGTCCGAACCAATATAAATCTTTGTGTCCTTCGAGCACAGCCATCCGGGTCAGACGCGCAAACTAGAAATTTACTAGCCGATGATTCGAAACACAACAACATACTTTTTCCTTTTCTTCTTAATCCATTTCCCCACTTTGCAGCACTCATTCTTCCACTAACGGTGAACGTGCAATATCACCCTGGCTGTGATATACTGATCTGTTCTCCTGTTGCAGGCCCACTAATCATAGGGGATGTAAATGGGAACCCCGTGGGTAGTTCTTGGTCACCCCCTTAATTCATTTTCTTCTATACTCTTCTTGCTTTGAATCCAGGATTAGTTCATTTTATTCTGGTGCATGGCTGGGGATAAAGGTCTTGGACGTATTTGGCCATAGTGTGGTGTTTAGGTCGCTAGTCGAAGTTCCTTATTTCTCGGTTAGTAGTAAATCATGCCCTAATGAGATTCTGATTTCTGAGTCTTGTTAGACTCCTATCTTCTTCTTAATATAATAATATGCAGCTCTCTTGTGTGTTCATGAGAAAAAATTATTGAGTTTTGGGTCGTGACCTACTGAGAGAACAAAACTTGCATTGATATCCCCTCACCTGCACATTTTTAGCGACAACACAGTACCATTATTATTGTCCTTTGGTTTGAGGTGAAGCAGTTACTCCCTCTATCCCTTAATAAATAGATTTCTAGAGTTGTCTTAAGTCAAACTTTTTAAATTTTAATCAATTTTTAGAAAAAACGTCAAGATTTAGTTTTTCAAATTAGTATCATTAGATATAGCATAGAATATATTTTCATAATGTACTCATTTTATGTCATACGCCCTGTTCGCTTGGCTTATAAGCCGTACTTTTTCAGCCAACGAACAATATTTTTCTCTCATAATAAATCAGCCAACGGTACTTTTAGTCATGGCTTATCAGCCAAGTAAACATGGCAATAGATGTTGTTACTTTTTTCTATAGAGTTAGTCAAACTTGGCACAAATTCTATGAATTAATTTATTCGGGGACAGAGGTAGTACCGTCCTTCATATACTAGACAACTGTATCATGCGCCAGGAAAATAGAATCATTTCTCGTTGGCTATTTCTCATTGGCCACATCAATATGACAATTGACAAACTCGCAGTTAGCATAAAGTACAGAAAAACAAAGTGTTATTTCAATCCTACCAAGCCGGAGATCATGGCTTAGAGATAACGATTTGATTAGATTACTGCATAAACCTCAGTGTGAATTATTTGAAGCATCACAATAGATGAAAACATTGGACTCATCCATATCACCATTGCTTCCTCTTGATCTATCACAAGCAATCCACAAGCTTCAAACCAGCTACAGATAGGCCTTGGGCAAGTTGTACCACCAGTCGTGTGGTTTATCTGCCAATCTTTTCCATGACATTGTTATCTAGCATGTTGTTCTACTGTTATTTAATCACTCGTAGTTAGAAGAAAAGGAGGCTAGAAGTAAAGAGCCAAGCTTGATCAACAGTGGCATCTTTGAAAAATCAGATGGCTACAAAAGGAGTGTCTCAGATTTGGAAGGCAGTTCTGCAGAAAGATCAGTCTTGACACTACATCTCTTAAGTAGCATGGTATGTTGTTCTCACATGACCTATTGTTGGGTTCAAGTGTTCAACCGTTGGTCTTTGGCTTCAGTTGCTGCTTACTGTGATGTCATATATGCATTTCTGCTTTTCTGAACATATATAATAAGGTTCTTAGTTCTTTTAGGCTGCTTGATGTCTCTTAAGGATGTATCTTCTGTGCTATTTCTTGCATTATAAGTTACTGTTAGACCAAACACTAAACTGGATCAACAAGCATCGTGGTTTTGTTTCTTGCATTAATCTTGCAGAAGTTCTTCTAGAATGCTCCCATATGTGCACTTTCTATACGTCCTAGTTGATTGTACTTTGATTAAATTGAGTAGATTGGTTTACCATCCTATGCATCGTGATCTGCATGCACACCCAAGTCAACATTTTTATTCACTGCTGAGCCTCAAGAGCTCGAAATAATACTGAATCATTTAATCTCATAACTCATATGGCGCTAGAACTGAGGGTCACGGCGGTGCTACAACCTGTTGCAAATGAATTTGTCCTGTGGTGCTTGGTTGGAGCTAAGGGGCTTCCATGTCCTTCGCAGGGGGCAGCTAATCTTGTCCCTGGGTCTTTTGGTCACTTTTTTTGTTTCTGTGGCAAATTCTTAAACCTTTTTTTTTCTGTCGTTTGGGTGAGTTTTGGTGTGGACTTGGGTGTGCGTTGGGTCTTTGTAGTGCTGGGGTTTTCATCCATATCCCATAGTTTCTCTCTTTTCTTTAATGAAATAATGCTCGGCTCTCTTGCATGTTTGAGAAAAATATGTGCTTCCTTGTCTTGAAAAGAGTGTCAGTTTGGAATTGTCAGTAGACCCAAGGTTTTAGTAGAATAGTAGTTGGTAAACCTGGCCATTCAAATCCTTCTGATTAACTTCATACTCTCCTCTTGTATGAACTTTATTTTTGTCGAGTATAAGAATTCAAATGTGAGAGTTGAACACACAGCTTGTTTTCTCTGGATGCACTGGCCTTTCATGTAGCTTTAACAGTGCCTGGCTGCCTCTTGCGCTGTTAGATATTGATTGGGCTTCTCAAGTGGGTTTTCCTCAGGCTAGAGGACTTTTATTCTCCTCACAATCAAGCTATTTCTTTTGAACTTTGCTCCTTGGTAACTCGTTTCTTTTGTCAGACACAAGACCTTTAAGTAGCCAAGAATTTTTTTATGGATTTGAAGTAGCTATCCTTATTCCTTATCTTTGGGATACGTCTTTGCATTTGAGAATTCTTTTGATTTGTAGGGCAGAACCTTTGCAGTTTTATTAGCTTTAATTATGTGGCCGTGTGCTTTTTTCCCTGTTTTGGAGGCGGTGGCCGTATGCTTTAGTCAAATGGTTCTGAGTGAGGCTGAATATATAGGGAGTGTGGCATACATTTCCATCAATGGTTTTCAAGAAAAAACACCAATAAAGTTTACACTCAAATATTACTATCTCTGTTCCATTTTATCTGGCGCATACGTATATCAAGATTCAAACTTTAAAAGTTTTGACCAATAATTAGGCTAATAATTTTTAACTATTATAATAGAAACTTTATATGATTAGATTTGTAAGGAATTATACTATCTAATGATTATAAGTTTATAAGCATAAATAATATAATATAAAGCAAATAAATGATCAAAGTATAATCTAGCAGAGCGTGTCATTCTATCTTGCGCCAGATAAAATGGAACAGGGCGAGTATTGCTGAATTGTACGTGGACTGTAAATAGGCATTGAATCATTCATTGATACATGATCCCCATATCTTTTCGTCACACGCTTTGTCACTGACTCACTGGAACTTGTTTGAGTGTGAGATAATTGCCAAATTGATACTCCTCATTCAGTAGTACTCTCTCCATTCCAAATTATAAGTGATTTTGGCTTTGTCTTAAGTCAAAATTATGTAATAAGTTTGACCAGGTTCATAGACATATATATTGGCACCTATAATTTACCAAATAAGTGCTCTATCAAAACATATTCATTGCATTGGTAGGTTAAAGGATACTAATTTTGGTGTTGTAAATGTTGGCAATTTTTTATATACTTGGTCAAGCTAAAAGAGTTCGACTCAGGATAAAACCAAACCTACTTATAGTAAACCGACTTATAACTTGGTATGGAGGGAGCAGTTGTCATACCTGTCTTATTTGGGGCATCTCTGTAATTCGAGGAATTGATGTATGTCAAGTTGAGATAGCAAATCATTAATATATCCTTTAGTATTTTTGCAAGGATATATGCTGCAACAGAGTTTACAAAACCAGTAACGATGAATCACTGTGAAGTCTGAAATGAGCTGCATATGGAGATCGGATCAAATTACTTTCGAGTGAGAATTGCAAGCTATCTAACCTTTGGTGGAAAAAATGTGCACGTTGGAAAGTGGGGAGAAAGAAAAGGAAGTTGCATGGACTCTGAACACGGCAAGGCTGGACAGATCTTGCTAAGACTGTATCTCCACCTTTACCTGTTTCATGAATTATCAGATGAAGGCTAATTGATATAACGCATAATTTTACCTTTGATGTTTGAATGAATGCATGCAGCCATCTTGACACAGACGTTTTACCAAGAATCTTGTCCCCATAATCTAAAGCATACTAGACTGTCTTTTCCCCTACTCAAGTAGTCAAGTACCTGTCAGCTGGATGTTTCTGCACTGCGTCCTCATCTTTGAGGTCACTTACTTACTATAAAGATAGCCCACTGTGTTACTGAATGCTTATCATAACCTTCTTTGCTTCCATGCAGGTTGCAGTACTGCAGTGAGCTCTTGTCTCTGATAGATGCTGGATTTCCATGAGTAGTTCTACCAGTAGACAAGGGGAAACCCAAGCTCATCAGGATGTGTTCGAGGAACAAACCATATTATGCCCATCGCATCCGAGTCACTCTTCCTTTCAGTATTCCCAGAGCCCAAACTTGAGTCAGTGCCTACTGCCTAGCCACTCTCAAAGGCAATTCATCCTACGTCTCCGGAATCGTTTTCGACAGCGATTCGCTCTATGTCGCCTCGTCGGATGGGCACATCAGGCTTTGGCCGTTGGACATGGCCATGGCCATGAACGTGCAACGAGCCGAGCAGTCTACCACCACGGTTGCAGCCACCAACAGTCCCATAAAGAGCATCATCGCCACCAGCAACGGCGGCCTCGTCAGCTCGCACCAGGACGGCAAGATCAGAGTGTGGCATTCCGGCCGGAGGAACGGGAGCAGCGGCGACCACCTCGCCCTGCCCCTGCGCGCCGTCCTGCCGACCGCCGCGGACTGCCTGCGCACGTTCCTGTTCCCCCAGCAACTACGTGGAGGTCCGGCGGCACCGGAGGCGACGCACCTGGGTGCACCACGTCGACGCGGTCGCCGCGCTCGCGCTGTCCCCGGGCGGCGCGGAGATGTACTCCGTGTCGTGGGACCGGATCCTCAAGGCGCGGCTGCCGAACCTCCGCTGCGTGGAGTCCGTCGCGCCCGCGCACGGCGACGCCATCAACGCCGTGGCCGTGTCGGCGGACGGGCACGTGTACACCGGCTCGGCCGACAGGGCGATCAGGGCGTGGAGGCGCCATCAGCCGGGGCGGGGGGAGGGAAAGCTCGCGCTGGTCGCCACCATGGAGCGCCACAAGGCGGCAGTGAACGCGCTGGCGCTGGGCGCCGACGGGCGGGTGCTCTACTCCGGCGCGTGCGACAAGACGGTCATCGTGTGGGAGCGTGCAGGTGCAGGAGAGAGCGTGGCCGCCACCGCCACCGCCACGTTCAGGGGCCACACGGGTGCCGTACTTTGCCTGGCCGCCGCCGGGCAAGTGGTGTGCAGTGGCTCGGCGGACAGGACGGTGAGGGTGTGGAGGAGAGGAGCGACAGCGGCGGTGCAGGGGGCGAGCTACACCTGTCTCGCCGTGCTGGAAGGCCATGCTGGAGCAGTGAAGAGCTTGGCGTTGGTGAACAAATCGGGAGGTGATCACGGCGGTTCGTGCGACGAGCGCTGCTGCACCGGCTGCCGCTGTGCAGCATTTGTTTGTAGCGGATCGCTGGACTGTGACGTCAAGATTTGGAGCGCGTGGTTGTTTCTTGCTTATGACTTGCTGTAGTAGCCGTGCGCTCATGGATACTTCTGGAGCTGAAAATGCTGGGTCAACTTTTATTGTGGGGTTCACTGCCACTACCGGGAAAACGTCCTTTGCCGAGATCCGAGATTTTTGCCGAGAGCAAAAACGCGGGCTCTCGGCAAAGAAAACGTTTGCCGAGCGCGGCTCTCGGCAAACACCGGCCGTCGGCAAGTGACAGGATTGCCGTGGGCCTGCATCTCGGCAAGCAACAACTCTCGGCGAAGTGGGCCGTTTTGCCGAGAGCCACGCTCGGCAAAAAATGCCCGTCGGCAAAACGGTCCTTTGCCGTAGGCCGCGCTCTTGGCAAAATCAGGCTCTCGGCAAAACATTGCCGCGGGCCCATAGCCGTGACCTGCCCTGACGGCGTCACCGCTTTGCCGAGAGCCCCTCCGTTACTGCTCTCGGCAAATATTTGCCGAGAGTCCCTTCCAGGCTCTCGGCAAATGTGGTTTCTATATTTCATGTGCATATGTTTCTCTTCTCCTAACTCTCTCCAATTAAATTATTTTTTTCTTTCATATGCTCCAAACTTTTTTCTCTATAGACATACTACAGGTTGTACTCAATATTAAAATTTTGTGTATTTTTGTAATTATTTGCTATATATAATTAATTAATTGCATTTCAAGGAGTTTTTTTAATCGATTAAAATTTGAACAGCGATTGATTTAAACGTGGGAAAAATTAAGTAGAAAATGATATTCATGCTATTTATGCATTATTGAGGGCAAATAACATCTTGTTGACGTTTTTTTTCACATTTTATTTTACGAATCGAAGACCATGAACATATGTCGCCCAACGATTTAAAAATTCTTAAAAAAGGAAACGAAGTCGGAAAATTATGATATTTGCAATGAAGTCATGGTATCACACTTGGAGGCTGTGGTAAAAAATTGAAAATGTTTCGCACAAGTGGTTGCGTATGATTCTTACAATCGAGACATCTCCGAATAAGTTTCATAAAGTTGAGAAGGATCCATTAGGATTTTCAAACAATGTCACGATCGAATTAGTTTTGGAGTTCCAAACTTTTTGTATAACCATTAGAGAGCATAAGTTGTAACACGGCAAAATTTCGTATTTTTTCGGAGCCGTTTGCTGTTTATTAATTTTTTTTTGGATATTATTTGCCGAGAGCTTCAGGGGATTGCTCTTGGCAAAGGCTCTTTGCCGAGAGCAACTAGGCCCGCTCTTAGCGCATTTTTTTTACCTGGCCTGGATCAATGGTTTGCCGAGAGCTAGCTCTCGGCGAAGAGGTTTGCCGAGAGCTGCTCTCGGGAAAGATTTAATTTTTTTAGAAATATCATTTTTTGTTCAGTCTTGTAGGTGATTGTGCAAAGATGGCGGGCCGCAGAGCTTTGCGGGCGGTCAGGTCGCTTTACGACACGGGGGGCAGTACACCAGGGCCCTCAGGTGAAGCTGGGGGGTCGGCACCACCTCAGGGGCGGAGGAGGAGGGCGGCCGGGAGGAGGCCTAGGGCGCCACCGCCTTAGCCTGCAGCAGCACCACCACCAGAGCCCGAGGAGAAGCGGGAGGAAGAGCAGGTGGATGAGCAGGCTCAGTAGGGAGAGGACGAGCTGCAGGCCGAGCAGGAGGCCGAGCAGCTGGACGAGCAGGAGGAGCGGGAGGATGAGTAGGAGGCCGAGACAGGAGGTTCCAGTTCCACCGGAACCTCGGGTGTCTACCAACGAGGTCCGGTGAGCCTACCTGAGCGGCCGATACCTGAGGCTCTACGCCCGGTCATTCGACCCGTTGGGCAAAAGTACGTAACTTTTACATTTTTTCGCTCCTACATATGATAGAATCACAATGGAAACTAACAGTTTTTTCTTAATCACTTAAGCAGGTCTTGGAAGGTCGTGGTCCCTGTGTGCTCACAAAAGGTTGCCCAATGGCATCCTGGGTCTTCTCGCAGGAACACTTCCTGAGCTTGGTTCACACAATCAAGCTCTAGAGCCGGCCTACACGTACGAGCACTACGTCGCCGCCCCTGATGCGGAGGACGAGACGGTCCACACGTACGAAAGCGTGGCGGAGCGGGTTATAAAGCGAGTTTTGGGTAAGTCTTCCTCCACTACTTTGCTCAATACATTGCATTCGCTAGAGTTTCTTGAACCGGTGTATTGATACATCTTTTCTATATGCGGGACTTCTTCAAATGCGCCAAGGGCTACGAGGCGAGGCTGCCAAGGCGTCGGCCAAATCTTTTAGAGGTCGCATCTCGGACATGCATTACGAGGGCGGCTCTAGGCCATCATCGACATCGTGCCGTCTATGAGCATCGGAAGGTAAAGAAAGAAGATGCAAGATTAATGCATCGACCAAAGAGCGATACACGAAGGTAAATATACAACATCAATATTGATTTCTTACGAGATTGGGTAGGCTTGAATTGTTCTTATATCTCGTCAATGTACTTGATGTCGCATACAGGTGCCTCCTGGCTGGTGCGCCAATAAAACGCGGGCCTGACATATGATGGTCGACAGGTGGGTGAGTGGTAATTGGGCGGATAACCACACCGTCCTCCGGGAACGACGTTTGCTTATGCCAGGTGTATCACACCACCAGGGCAACCTTAACATCCACGAATTCAGGGCTAGATGGGTATGTGACTTGGTGTAGCTTCATTTATTCTTTCAGACGTTTATTCCGCATGATTTATAATCGTCTTGTTGTTTTTCTCGCGATCGGGCCGCACATCAAAACCAGCCATGCGGAGAGCTCAAGTCATGGGTTACGGCCCACAAGGGCAAGGCGATGAACAACATCAATGGAACCCGGACAACCCAAAGTCGTTCAGTCGAGCATTCAGCGCATCAACGAGAGCATCCCGGGGAGTCCAGGGCGATCGATCAAGACACCGTGGACATTGCGGCGACATCGCAAGAGGAGTCCATGGGTGGTACCTCGGGATCAACGACACACACCGCAGACATTGACACGGCGGATCGTCATGAGGGTGGGAGGAGGCAAGGACAAGCATCGTGTGACAAGACTACAAAGTTATTTCTATTTTATTCATCGTTCATTGGTTTTACATTCCTCGAAATTGCTTGCAACAACGCGGTGAAAAATTCGGCCCAGTGCACACCACATATAGGCTACAAATTTTGATGTGTGTCTGAGGCTTAGATTACAATTTTATACCTAGTTATATGTGGCAAATTTTGACTTGTCTACGCTTAGATTACAATTATATGCCTTAGTATTACTATAATTACTAATTTTTCTTCTCCTTTGTGCAGAATCAATGGGGGGAGGCATCGTGCGTTGATATGGTTCGAATGATGTGTGTCTAGGCTTAGATTACAATTTTATACCTAGTTCGTCGGGAGGGTCATGGCACCAACAATTATATGCCACAACTTCCTTTGTGCCGGGCGAATGATTAGCCGAGCAGTGCCGTCGTCGGAGAGGGTCGGGCACCAACCGTATCCACAATCCACGCCTCGCAGCCGCCGTCGGGAGGGTTGGGGTACCAGATATCACACCTTCGCGCTTGGCAGCAGCAGCCGGCGTCGGGGGTGGGAGCCTTGGGGTGAGCCTGTTGTTCTTCATCATGTATTAGCACTTTGTGACATGAACTTGTGTGAGATGAACTTAGCACTTTGAGATGGACATGTGTTGTTGGATTTGAGATGTTTAGATGGATTATAATGTGAGACATGTGATGTGGATGACATATTTGTGATATGTGATGTGGATGATGTGTCATATTTGTGAAATATGTGTTGTTGAAGTTTGGAAATATAAACAAAAATAAAAAAATGCTCTCTGGACTCTTGCCGAGAGTAGGGCTCTCGGCAAATCCGCTCTTTCTTGCCGAGAGCCTAGCCGACAAATCTACCTCTTTGTCGAGAGCTTGGTGGTCGGCTCTCGGCAAACCTTTTTTTTTTTAAACCACCTCGGCCCCAAATCTTTTTTTTTTAACAATTTTTGTCGACGGTCGCTCTCAAAGCAAAGAAGTTCTTTACCGACGGTCGCTCTCGGCAAAGAAGTCATCACACCGTTAGTGGTCGTTTGGCGTTACTAGGGCGCGCGCTTTGCCGAGAGCTAGAGTTTGCCAAGAGCCTTGCCAGTACTCTCGGTAAATATTTTGCCGAGAGGGGCTCTCGGTAAAGAATCCTTTGCCGGTAGATGTTTTGCCGATGGCTCTTTGGCGAGATCTGCTCTCGACAAATAGTTTGCCGAGCGTCAACTCGTCTTTGCCGGGAGCTTTGCCGAGAGCTTCGGGCTCTCGGCAAAGGCCGGGAGTCCGGTAGTGGATGGGATCCAAAGATGCAAAATGCTAGTATTTCCTCAGCGGTTCCGTATAGTATACTACGTCAACTGGGTATGTTACCATAAAAATTTAGGAACGCTATACAACACATGTGTGTGTTTTGCTTTGTTAGCACATGGATTTCCTGTCCGTCGGATCCGTCCCGCGCGCTGCTGGTCGTTCGATGTCGCGCACATGGATGTGGTCTGTTTTGTATCTCTGACCTGTGGACCCTGGATGTCGGCGCTACAGTTTGATTTTTTTGGGAGTCGCGCCCGATTTTGTGTCGTCCATCCCCTCCTCTTCCATTTCGTTTCGGCTTCTTCCAGGCGACTCCAGGCGACGCGCCGCTCTCCTTGGGCAGCCGACCGCGATTTCTGCTCTCTAGCTTTCCCTCCCACTCTCCCAATGACCCAGTCCCAGATCTGTCGCTCCTCTGTCTCCTCCGGCACCCTGGCAGCCTCCCACCACACGTGGAGCACTGGCTGCGGTGGCGTTGGCGCTGCAGCGGCAGGGGAGCAGCGTGCGCAGGGCAGCTTTTGTCGTCGTCAAGAGCTAGGGGCCTCCTCCTCCACCTCCTCGTGCAAAGCACCGGCGGCGGAGCCACGACAGCTACCCGTGTCGCCGCTGAGGGGCAGCTAGGGACGCCGCACCGGCGGTCGTCTGGCTCGTCGGCGCCGCATGGGTCTGGGTCAATCCGCGCAAGGTCTGCCCC